CACACACACACACACACACACACACACACACACACACACACACACACGCACACAAAACGTCCCAAGAACCAAAACCTGAATACACAAATGTTTCTAGGACAAGCTGATCATCTGGGAGAGGTTACCGTCCCACAATGCACCTTGCAGTTGAGAAGCCATCCAAATCCCTGTGTTTTCTCTCTCACACACACACACACACACACACACACACACACACACACACACACACATTGATACACAGGGTCTGCAGAAGTCATTAGGACTGAACTAAACCCCATTTAACTTCCTCCACCTCCTCCTCTCCTCTTCTTCCCCTTTGAGAACTGAATTTGCGCTCTGATCATAAAACCACATTTATCGACCCAAAGCCTGCAGATCCACACACACTCGTGCACGGCCGCGCACGCACACCCCTGAGCTCGTGTTGATCCTGCTGAAGAGTGTTACGCCTCAAGCATTACAGGCATATTTTCCCACTGAATGTGTGGCTGATGACAGGCGGAGATTTGGGCCAGAGTGTGTGTGTGTGTGTGTGTTTGAGTGAGTGAGTGAGTGTTGCAGACAGACAGAGACAGGTGCAGAGTGTGTTCAATCTGAAGAATGCCGAGAGACACAATAACAACCTTACTTCCTGCAGGCACACACACACACAGACATCCACCCCCCCCAAACACACACACACACACATTCCCACAGTCAGCTCACAGCAATTGAGAGTCACTTAAAGCCAAACAGACAGACCACAAACCACAGAAATATTGCCGACTTCAGCGCACACACCACTGAAGCTTTTGTTTAAACAACTTTAAAAAAAGTTTCTCCCCCCCAAAATGCTACTTCTTCATATGTAACACTCAGGAAACAGAGTGGGATTCTCAGAATGCTTGAAGGACAATTGTTGACAACAAAAATAAAAAAAGTTGAACTGGACATTACCCTGTCTGACTACAATATCCTGATATTATGTCATTATTTCTTACATATTGTAATTTTTTTTTTTTTAAACTGCAATTATCGGAACTATTTACTTCTCGCTTCAATGAAACTATGAACTGGGCCTTTGCCTTCCATCGATGGAGATATTTATTTAAATCCACCAGGTGATAGGAGCATGAGGCGTTTACAGACTAAGGAAAAGGAGAAAAAGTAAATTAACAAGTAAATACATTAAAAGAATCCCGGCTCCTCGTGGTGTGTAATAACATTACCCTAAAAGAGCCACAAGCCATTTGATTTGCTCTAACACCGATAAAGAAAACAACAAATGTTAACCTATTGAGTGTTCATATCTGAGACATGCTGGACATCACACAAAGGTGAATGTCAACCAGTGGAAGCCACAGAACTCCTTCTGTCAAAATAAGAACACCCCACTCACACTCCCTCTGTTTCTATGCTGGCCCCCCACATGTCTACACCTAACTCATCTTAATCTGACATCAGGCGAAGGGGTTGGACACGCCCAGGACGCCGCCCTGTTCCAAAATGGCCGCTGAACTGGCCGGTCACTCCTGGAGGAGGCCCGTGCAGACCCGGGCAGGGCCGCATTCCAGCCCAAACGCCACACCGGTTCAGAGGATCCAAGCAAAGCCTGGTTCCACTTCGCTCTGAGCAGCAACGGCAAAAAAAAAAAAAAAGCTACATTCCTTTCAAAACTGGTTCCTCATGGAGCTCTAAACACACACACAATAAGTTCAGAGCAGCCAGCTGTGCAACACTGACCTGACCTGGAGGTTCAAAGACTCCGGCGCTCACTGTACTGATGACTTAGTTCAACCCCAGAGACAGACGGGGTGAATGAATGTCAGAGCAGCTGGAATTATAGCACAGCTCTAAGAAAAGTAGTCAGGACCAGTTAGAGCTAACAACAACCAGAGGTGACGACTTCCCATTGCTTATTGGTTCTGATCAACAGTAAAAAACACACAAAAGAAAAGGAAAAACTAGAAGAATAGGCAGCACATCACCCTAAAAGGCGGAAGAAGGGAGAAGTAACCTCACAAAGTCCAAGCATGTTTAAGTAAAGCTGCATAAATCAGCCTGAACCCAAAAGGATGCCTTCCTCCTCACGACTGAGGAGCTGTGAGGGAAACTTTCCTGAGCGGGGAAGTCGCCAGAGGCAGAGAAACTGGCAGAGCCCCTCCAGGGTTTTGCTCGAAAGGGAGCGGGGAACGAAAAAAAAAAAATAGTCGAAACAAACGAATGAAACGCTACAAGCTGGATGCGGATAAAAAGACAGCAAACGGAAACAAAAGAGGGAAAAATGCAGAGGGCCGAGGGGCGGGGGGGGGGGGGGGGGTTTGGAGCGTCCTCTCCCCGTTATTGTCTGTAAATGTGGGGAGCATCTGTTCTCCCTCGCTGCCTCCACTTCTGCTCCCAGTGGAGAGAGAAAGGATGGAGGGATGTGAGGGAGGAGGAGAGAGCAGGAAGAAGACACGTTGTGTGCTGCAGCTTTAGGAGGAGCACAACATGAAGCCCTGACGGTGTGGATGCCACATCTCTTTCTCCTTTTACTGTGATCTGAAAGGCAGGACCCGTCCAGCCCACAGCCGGACCTCCAAACTGGAACACGCTGGATTTTCATGTGCCAACTCAACCAAAAACCTCCCTTCCTAAAACACTGAGAATATTGAGGCTGTTAAATCATTCCAAAATCACCAATGAGTCTAATAAAGGACTGTTGACACATTTATATACATTTGTGTAAACGTATTGGGAGAAAGTGCAAAAATAGGCTGGAATCTATTTGTAACTCGGTTTTAAACCCTGCTTCTTATCACATAGAACAAGCATAGTTTTCTATTTTGAAATGGTCCTAGATCATTTCAAAAGGAAAACAAGACAGCAAAGAGAGTAAAACGATGTCCAGAAGCTCCTTCTGGCAGAAGTGCATGTAAAGGGGCTGGAAGTGGATGTGCGTGGATGGGGCTGCTGCACTGTTGGGGGGGTTTGTGGGGGGGGGGGGACAAAACCGAGCAGGTCTCCACCGCAGGATCCACCTGCATCTGCCTGTTTGGCTTCTGTTTTCCGAAGTGTGGACGCTCCGATTGGCGGGACCCGTCCTGGCCAGCCGGTGGGACCGGGATCCGGGTTTCAGGCCGGGGCCAGGATCCGGGCTCCAGGCCAGGGCCGGGATCCTACCCGGGGTCGGGCCATATACGCACTCCTCTGCTTCTCTTTTCCCTCCATTTCCAGAATCCTCTCTCCCTGTCTCCCCCTCTCTCATTCCCTCCCTCCCTCTCTCTCTCTCTCTCTCTCTTTCTTTCTCTCTCACACACACACACAGTTTACCATGCTTCATCCAAAGCAGATGTGCTGGAATGTGAACATTCAAAGGAGCAGTCACGAAACCTCTCAACAGACACACACACAGACACACACACACACACACCACACATTTCTCAGTTACACACATTCCTCCTTACTCTCTCTCTCTCTCACACACACAGTCTGCTGCACCTGTGCCTCTCCTTTTTCATCCTCTCTCTCCTCCCATACCTATGGAGCAGGCTCCACATTCCCGGTGTGGGAGCCTTCCTGTGACACGCCCCCCAGAGTGGACCGTGCACGGCCGGCCGATAGCC